GCTGACATCGGCACTAGATACAGATCCTTGAACATGAAATAGCCGGAGACCACCACGTCCTTGAAGTTTCGACTCACGTAGATTATCTGCGGTATGGAATGAGTATTCCGTTAGAAGTCACATGCGTTGAGATTTGTACGAATATAAGCCTTTGTTTGTGTAACACTTACGCATTCAGTTTCTACATATCAAAGGCACAGGTGTTGTCGAAAGTCGCTCTTCGATTCGTTGGAACCCGACTTAGGACACTGTACTGCACACGTATAGCACGTGGATCAACTATTTTGGCTAACGCTCCATTAGGAGTGTTCATAACTTTGATATCATTAATGTCATGTATTTGACATTAAAGTTGGGAACACTCCTAATGGAGTATCACCCACTATTTCGGATAAAACTGAATGACAAATGGTCGAGGGTGTCTTCAGCGGCGTTGCGGGAGACCCCCCCCCTTGGCTACCTTGCACTTCTTCTCTTTAGCCTCCCGTGGAAGCGTTCTCCACGGATAGTGCGTTTTGAATATTCGCGGAGACTCCATCTCGTCCCGTGGCACGTACTTGCTTCCTGGGTAACTGCAATGCAAGCTGATGCTGGCATTAGACGCATGCACTCACCTGCCCACGCAAAGAAAAACTCAGAAAGAAAATGCACAGACGCTATACACTATACACTACGCACGCACGCACGCACTCACGCACGCGCTCGCTCGCTCGCTCGCTCACTCACTCACTCACTCACACACTCTCACGCACTCTCAGTCTCACTCTCACTCTCACTCTCACTCTCTCACTCACTCACGTGCGCACGCACGCACGCACGCACGCAGGGATAATGCATAGGTAGGTACCTGTATCCGATCTCTGGCATGCGCTCATCAAAGTTTTTCCCGTCTCTCGACTTGGGGTCTGCATCGTGTAAAACCAGCCACGTTATCTCCTGGGTGAATGTAGTTCCTGCGTGCAAGCAAATATTACAGGGCAATGACCAAACCGTGAGCAGGAAACGGCTTTGATATGCGTTCCTCTTGTCGTTATTAGAGGTTAGAGCTATAGGGACACACGTCGAAAAGGAGCAAGGTACCCTGATAGTAAAATGGTCCCTGGTCAGAAAAAAATGTACCATCCACTAACATGTGGTGTCAACTATACAGAAGTCTAAATAACTATACCTAAAACTAAATAACGATTTAGTACTGCTAAATAACGATTTGCCGAAAAATTCGACATATATATTGTACAGATACCTATGGGGCGAGTACACTAGCTTAGGCGTACCGCTCTTTGGGAGCGTAGCAACTATGACATCATCCTCACGGCATTTCATGTTCTCCATCTT